TATATAAAATATACTAGGAGTTACTATCGCAAAGAAATTGCTGCCTCGCCCCTAAGGGATCAAAGCCAGGCAGCATGCAGGATTCGCTGAATAAGGGGCTGAACACATTTATATGATCCTACTTTGCCAGGACAAGTTGTGAGGCAGGATTATTTTTGATGTATTGAAATAAATTATGGTGCCCGATTCAGCAAAAAACTACATAGTTAACTGTAAACTAAAAAGCAATAAAATATATATTATACCTCAAATTCAAATTGTCCTATAAAAGAACAGCATTCGTAACACGTGACAATGTGTTTTTTTACGGTATTTCACTCAAATTCATGATTTCGCAATGCAGCGTGAGATCCACTGTGGTGGATATTATAGTATCTCACGCTCACACACGACGAAAGAATACCATGCACGCTCTTAAAGAACATGGCATTCGCGAGCTGTTGTTTGTAATTTCGTACAGGCGCGTACATGCAGATTTATTGATTTACTGTAACCAAAAATTTTTAAGACGTACGTTACTTTCAATAATCCAAAGAATACATGCTCAAATATTTTAAAGAGAAAACGTCAAAACACAGGTATACATAAGAAATTAAAAATTGTATTCGCTTTATAGTTAATATTCAGCAAGTTTTAAAGTTTATTCTGAACTTATTATAGTGGTGTCTTTTACCTTCGGTATAATATATCATTTATAGACCCTTGGGGGATTCGCCGAAACATTACCCTCAGTGATGATATTTCAAATATTAAATAAATATCATCACTTCGGGTAATATTTCGCCGAACCCTCTCGCTTCGGGTCTATAAATGATGAATAAACTATATGCTAAAGAAAACCTTAACAATTTAAAATAATAGATAATCAGTCTGTAAGCGTCAGTGCATAGTTTTAAATGTTTCTTTATTGGATTGCGAGGCTTCCGAATGTGTGATTAATATATCTCCAATGTTCATCGCGGAGAAGTGACATTATCGACATTATCTTACGTGCATGGGATAATAGCGTGAGGTGGTTGGAAATACGGCTGCTTTTTCTGGACGCATGTTGGAACACAATGAAAGTACTAAACATTACGTAGTCCACTGTGAAGTTGTCTTTCACGGAGGCCATGATCTGACCATCATTGACACAATCACTAGGTCTGCAAGAGAACTTCCAATAAAATCGCCAAGTTTTAATTAATTAACGTTACAAATAAACATTGTACGCGTTTTCCATGTACGCGTTTTCCATGTACGCGTTTTCCATGTACGCGTTTTCCATGTACGCGTTTTCCATGTACGCGTTTTCCATTTACGCGTGTACGTGTACGCGTGTACGTGTACGTGTGTACGTGCACGCGTTTTCCAGACAACCGGCATACACTGGACAGTAAACATGCGATAAAACCCTGTCTAGACGGCCTGGCGTCAAGGATAATGATTGGATAATTGATTTTTAGACTGATAATGCATTAAGCCATTACACATTTTTTGCATTCCTTATCCGAACCAGGAATCGCTAACAAATTCACCAGAGGTTTTTCCTTTTTCTTCCCGCGTTTTCTCGCATTTCGCGTTCGCCAAACCGAAAAAAACCTCTGGGCCAGGGTAGCATCCCCCTCATAAAATTAGAAACTTTTCTGACCCCCCCCCCACAGAGTGGATTGAAAAATTAACAGCAATGAAACACGTGTGTGTTGCAGATAAAGTTAGATATTAGGAAAATCTGTTTAATCTAGCTCATGATGTCTTACCCTTGTGAATATGATCCAACCTTATATGATTAAAAAAGACCTTTAATTAAAAATATATACGGTATTATGTGTTACTACATAGCAATGCAACATTTGTCCTACCATAACCCTAACCCATGGCCTGTCTTCATACAGTGAAATGACTTGAACACAGGGCTTTCTCTAAGAACTTGTCTGGGGAGTGGGCATCTGAGATGACAGATGGTTGTTGGTGACAAAAAGTTTGGTGTGGTATCGTATGTACTAGTAGGGGGATCTGGGGGCACTTTCCCGCAAAAAAATTTTTGTATTTTTTCCACTCCTAGAACTGAAATGTGAGCATTTTCTCGAACAGATTTTTAGATATACAGCGTTACATTGTGCTTTGATAGACGGAATCTGATCAGTTAAGTGTACTTGCATGGTATGTTTATGTAAATGCCAGAACTGGGTCACTCAGGGGGTAGGAAGATTGTTAAAGGCGCAACCATAGTTGGCGCCGAGTAGGGCAATTTTTAAAATTTTGAGCCTCTAGATCGTTGAAAATGGCATTTTCAGTGTCTTCTTTTGTGATTATAGAAATCAGAATTTAAACATGGTATTTAAGTTCAAAAACTTTTTTGACCCCCCTTTCTCTGCATTAAAACTTTTTTGACCTCCCCTATTTATAAGGGTAAAACTTCGTTTGCCCCCCTCCCATTTACCAACCCCCCTCCCCATAAATAATGACCACTCCCTTAAATAAGCTAGTGTAGCCAGGGGTGCCAAATGGCCCTATGATGTCACAATTGTAAAACAGGAGAAATGGTGTTTTACGATACATTACACTTTATTGCATATTATCTGGCACTGATGCAGCTAGGATTTATATTCTCGGTTAATTTAATTTAAACAATCTTGTATCAATATTGTATTACCATATGCTGGGGGCTGAGGCAATAGACATATTTTCTTGGGAGTGCAGAAGGTTTTGCACCCGCCAAAATATTTTGCACCCCCAGAAAGTGTTTCCACCCCACCTAGAGAAATTTTAACAACCCCCCAGAAATTTAAATGCTCACTGGATTAAATGACAGTAGTGTGATTGAAATAAGGTATTTGACAATTTTCTCAAATCCTAAATTTCCTTACCCCCTTCAATCTCGTTCCCCGAGCCTGCGATCCTTGGGAAGGAAACGAAGGCTCTGGGATAATCCATGTCAGACATACAGAAAACTGTATGTCGACCTAACTGCGCATGCGTTGGCAAAAGCAAAACAAACTGTTTGAAATGTTATATTGTTTCGTCTATAAAATGATGATTTTTTCTGGGTTTTGGTGGAAATGTTGATGTTCTTCATAGTGGGATACAAAAGGTGTGAGTGACTGAATAAGGAAAATATTGCGTGTGAAACAGGGTCAGTATAGAGCCAGCAGGAGCCGCGAAGAGTGCTGTTGTCGAAGAAAAATCTCACAATTAATTGTAATCTTGTCCATTTCGGCCTCTTTGTCAGTTTGAAAAAGCTTTAAATGTAGAGACATTTGTGGTTTAGCCGTTTAACGCTATTATGTTTCTAATGGTTGAAAGAACGCGTGGAAAGGGCAATTTTCAAGAGCAAAAACAATTACAATGCACTGTGTGTTAATTGCTACTGTAGTGTTAAAATACCTGAAGAGAGTCTCAATTCTAATATTAACTCGGTTATAAACCTTGATAATATTAAAGTTTTCAGAAGATTTGTATATCAGAGGAATATTAAAAGGAATTTAGACTTATAAAACATATCATTAAAAATATGAATATAGTGAATTCCATGTTTGTATTGTGTTATCATCTCTAGAAATTAACAGTTTATAAGCCAAATCCTTGTTATATTTTTAACTGCCCTTATAGCTTTCCTTATATGTTTTAATATTTGCAAGCAGTTTAGTAGGTTAGGGATGCAACAGCACTTTTCAAATTATTGAATTGTAGCCAAATTTTGTGTCTGGATAAGAATTACTATTAAAGATTTACAGTTTGTAATGATAGAGTTGGAGCAAGTTAAGCTGCAATGTGCCTTAGTTTGCCCTACTTTGTTATTTTAAGCTGTTTAAGCCAGAATTTTTTCTCGTCAAGGGGAAAAAAGTATTGGACTTAGTATTTGAATGGGTTAGTTTAAGTTTAGTTTAATGAATTTGCCATATATTACATATAATATCATTAATTATAAGTATATGACAGGAGTTTGAACAGGACTTGCGTCTCAATTGCAACAGAACCCCTTTACATAAAACTCCAAAAATATCGGAGAAACAACAATAAATTATAAAATCAAATAAATAAATGAGCGAGTAGGTAATACTATACTAAGGAGGACAATAGTCCAAACACTTAGATGAATAAAAGTTATAAATGGCAGTCTTGAATGTTCGAATGGATTCGCACTGTTTCACCTGAGATGGCAAAGTGTTCCAGAGTTCGGCTGTTCTTATGAAGTAAGATTTCCTGTAATAATCTTGCTTATGTTTTATAATTAGATTATAGTTATTTATGTCATAATTACGTGTTCGATACCCGGGCTCAAACACTGTCAAAAATTTATTAATGTCGGTGGTTACCAAGCCATTTCTCGATTTAAAGAAAAATGTTAAGTCTGAAATTTGTCTACGGTGTTCTAAAGGCAATAAGTTTAGTTTTATCAATCTATCAATATACTTCATATCTTCAGGATAGTTTAGAATAAACTTGGTAGCTCTTCTCTGGACATTTTCAATTAATTTCACGTATTTCTTGATGTAAGGCGACCAAAGACTACTACCATATTCCAGCTTGGGTCGTACAAGAGCACAGTATATTATTTTTCTAGTTTGTATATCTTGCAAATCACGGAAAATCCTTTTCATTAGCCCAAGGGTCCTGTTAGCTTTAACAACAATTTTCTCAATATGATCTGCCCAGGATAAATTGTGACATATAGTAATCCCGAGGTCGACAAATGAAGGCACACACTCAATCGGTTGGTCACCAAGACTGTAATTTCTATTCATTTCCCGAGTTAACCTTTTCTTTGAAATATGTAATATTTTGCATTTCCGCGAATTGAAGTCTAATCCCGAACTGAGGCTCCATGTATGTAGACAGTCTAAATCGGCTTGAAGTAAGTTATGGTCATAATTTATGTCCATCGCCCGATACAATTTCGAGTCATCAGCGAAAAGTGCAATATTCGAGTTATTAATAATGCAACTTGGTAGATCATTCACATAAACCAAAAACAACAAAGGTCCTAGAATGGAGCCCTGCGGCACGCCTGATGTTACTGATAGCCAATCAGAAGAAGCACCTTCCAGGACAACCCTCTGTTTTGGTTCAGAAAGATAACTCTTCATCCATAACAATAGTGGACCTGTGATACCATGCAACTGAAGTTTCAAGAGTAACAAATTATTATGAGGCACTTTGTCAAATGCTTTGGCTAGATCAAGATACAACACATCTACCTCCTTTCCACTTGCGACAGAGTTTACAATATCATCATAGACCTCGACAAGTTGTGTTACTGTTGATCGACCCTTCAAGAAACCATGCTGTAAATGGTATATCTGAGGCTCCAGATGCTTACTACAATGATTAAATACACAGCGTTCGAGTACCTTGGAAATTGTATTTAGGAGCGAGATGGGTCTATAATTGGAGGAGACTGTTGGGTCATCGGTTTTTAAAATCGGCGAAAGATTTGCTAACTTCCATTCTGAAGGAACAACCTCCTGGGATAGCGACAAGTTAAATAGCTTGCATAGGGATGGTGCAATTTCGGTCGACACGTTCTGAAGAAGTCTGTTCGGTATTCCACCCGGGCCACAAGCCTTATTAGGATCCAAGCTCTTAAGCACATTGGCGACTTCGCTTTCCAGCCCATCTGCATGATTACCTATCTTTGGTTAATTATCTCATTAGATCATTAAGCCACAATGCTCTTAGTGCACTTTTTTGTTATTTCACTGTACTTCTGGACAATATTTCTCACCAATGGCCAGAAATGTACTTGACTTCATGTTGATTACTGCCATTAATTAATTAACTACTGCACTAAATAGGACATTCAAGGTTGGATATGTAATAGCAATAGAGGTTGCTATCATTGAAGCATTCAGGGGCGTCGCTAGCCCAAATTGTCAGGCATTTGGCAATTTATTGTATCGGGAATCAGGAAATTGTTTTCGTGCCAGCATGATTTGAATTGGATAGGTATGGAAAAAACTGAGTTTTTGTTGCCCCTTCTCAGAGTAGGTATGTGTTGTTTTATAGTGTAAATAACAAGTTTTGATATTGCAATCAAACTGGCAGGGTAGTTGTCATGACCATGGTAATACAAATATTTCTATGGGCCTATGGCTTGGCATTTACATCGGGCAATTTTTTATCATTCATTACAAAATTAAACCTGCACCCTAGGTGGTTCCCTGCAGGGGGTCATAACCATGGGGAAGCTGATGGAAATGAATTCTGGTATTGGTGGCTGATCACTATCATTTAATATTTTTGTGAATAGAACATTTCTTTAAAAAAGTATATGAATTTATTAAAAATATTTATATGGTTTCTCAATCTGGAATTCATACTTTGTAACATTTGGATCAAAAGGTTTATGACGTTTTGTTGGACAGAATCCAATTAATACAACCTCGTATAGAGGGCAGGGCTTCCTTGAATTACTGTGTGGATAAGTTTAATAAAGGGATTGCCTTGGCATATTCTACTACTCAATAAATTAAAATCGTTAAATACTTTCTGCTATAATTAGCTGTAATATTATACTGTATATTATTGTGTTTCATATGATGTCATAAATTTGACGGGGGTCAACTCTAAATGAGACACAATTAATACAACCTTGTACAGAGGGCAGGGCTTCTTTGAATTACTGTGTGGACAAGATTAATGAAGGGATTGCCAATTTGGCATATTGTACTACTCAATAAATTTACTGTAAATCATTAAATACTTTCTGCTACAATTAGCTGTAATATTATACTGTATATTATTGTGTTTCATATGACGTCATAAATTTGACGGGGGGTCAACTCTAAATCGAGACACAGTCATCAGAGTGAATTCATTTTTCACTGTACGTGTTGACCTTATGTTTGGTGGCAAATACATGCAATTTCATAGCATTTGCTCATTCCAGTACAGCATAAGCATCAATACATTTTAGGTTGACCCAATGTCAGAACGTGCAAAATGCCATAGTGAAACCCCAGAATTCATTATATGTATTAGGTGTATGTACACTGGCATACAAGTTGATATCACTGCCTGCGAAATTGTGGTTGATTTAGAGAATAAAGGTTTTTTGAACACTTCTATCAATAAATAACAGCAAAAGATTCATATGCAAGTATCCATATAGGGAAAGGTTACATGCTACAAGTTAAAATGAGTTTTACATACTCCTGCACTTGAAAAGTTTACAGTACAGTATATACATTAAATAATAAAATATATAACAGTAAATCCGGGCAAATCCCAAGATTGGATTTATTGAAACTAGTCATTAGCTAGTTCTTCGCAATTAAATAACACAAAGACAAATTAATAAAAGTTATTAACCATTTCTGACACAAATAGTATTTGCAAAATATAGCACATATTTGATATTATAGTCAAATAGTACAGTGTACTGACAGTACTGTATACTATGTATAGATTAAAACTACAGAAAACATGTACAACACAAATATGAGTAAAGTTTTCACGCTCCATTTAACTGTTGTGATATTATACGCATTAATATACGTTTCTTTGCATTTCCTTTGTAGTATTAGTATATAGCACAGCTCTGAAACACCAAAAGAATATTCGTACACTCCTAAACGGCCATGTTGTATGTAAAAATATACGGTTAAAAATTAATTTTTGCAAAATTGCAACATTCCATTATATACCAGCAACCAATAATATTATTTCTGACATGGATTATCCCAGAGCCTTCGTTTCCTTCCCAAGGATCGAAGGCTCGGGGAACGAGATTGTAGCCCCATTACCTACTTTGCCTCAGACCCTGCTGCAGCTTGTTTGGCAGTGCTACACACCTTGTCGCTCAAATTCCCCCCGTATATTTTTGGCACCCGCAGAGCAAAATCTGAATATCAGTCTATGCTACAACCTCGTTCCCAGGGTCTTTCTTAGAACGACGCGAGGCGAAGGAAAGATCCTGGTTTCGGCTGGTCACGTGTCACCCAGATTCTGGGTGATAAATTAACATGATACTATGGGCAGGGTGGGAGAGGAGCCTGTTTGTCACTTTGTCGCGTTTGTAACAATATTTGCAATTCTGTGTGATGAAATTTAAATTTGCAACAAGAAATCGTGAAGAAAACTGCAATTAAAAATTAATATTTATCGTGATGTGACTTTCTGCTCTATAATCTAGTGTCGAGTTACAATTCAAGCAAGCTGGATCAGATTTCAACTTACAAAAGAAAGCACGCCTGGGCGGCGTGGCAATATTAAGCCTACAAGAAAATTCATATCTCTAGACTGACCAATGTGGTTTATGTTTATTTAACTGTTAGTATTAAAGTATATCCTGATACTCGGACCAAAAGAATATATTTATTGATGAGAGGTGGAATTGGAACGAACGAAATAGCGAGATCTTTTGACTTCCGAAATATCGCCAAGACGCCAACTGTATCGAGATTGTTGATTATATTAAAAGGCCTTATCACAAAACTTAAATCCCGTCAAAAGACTATAAAATTTCCTGCAAGATCTCAACGATTATGGTATATGTCAAAGTCTATAGCTGTCTGTTGAAAATCTACGGTATTACAGTAAAGTCATACATCAAAGATAAGTCAAACGACAATATATTTGTCTTACTGTTTACTACTGTGTTTATACCACATTTATAAATTTTATAAACAGCTTTCGTCTTGACACAAGCTTTAATTTTCTGCTTTATATATATTCTTAATAATATAAGTGAGATTTAAATTTTTTGCTTTGTGAAATAGAATACCGTTATTTTTTAATGGACAGCTTCTATCGTCTCTATCACATCCAGGATTGCTTGTATGTAAATACCCTACATGTATCACTATATATGCCATTATCAAATAAATATAGAAATATAAAAGAACTTATTGAACTAGAAATAAACAGATGATTGAGACACAATGAAAACTGTTAGTAGCCTTATAAGAAGTAGAAAACTCGAAAATTTATGTGTATTCGTATGGCAGTCTGTGCGCGTCTGACACTGTAAGTTTGTGATGTAGATTATAGCCTAGTTGTGTGCATATTAGGAAAACATTATCTGACCAAGAAAAAGGCTAAAGCCTTACTATAATTAATGAATACGAATTATGTACTAAATCCAAAATTTTAAAGATAAATCACTGACAGACATTTCTCTGTTTGGCTGGTATCAAATGTTTACATTTGCTGATATTGGGCTCTACTCTCTAGTCCTAGACAATACAATACAATACTGTTTCTTTTAAAAATCTTATAAACAAGACGTGCAAAGCATAGCAACGTTTACAAAAAAGGACAAATCTAATGCATGCTTAAAAACATTAGATATGTAGAAATGGTGACCACTGAAAAGCCCATAAAAGTTTGTTATACAACCGCGCTCGAGTGAAGAGAGCATTGAATAATAATAACACGAGAAAGCACTGCGAGTAACGATTTGCTTGGTTTCTTGACTTGACTGTTGGTAAAAATGTAAGAATGTTCTTGTAAATTCAATGCAAATAAAATAAACAAAAATTAGCAAGTACTTTGAACTTACTGGTAATAGTTCGCAAAATTTATGTTTTTAACTGTTTGTAATTTGATACTTTCACCACACCCCCCTCGGGCAATCAATTTTGGACGAGGCACGTGACCAGCCGATACCAGGGTCTTTCCTAAAGACCCTGGGAACGAGGTTGTCTATGCTACTGGCCCCCTCTCTGCACACAATGTACAGTATAAGTATTATGCTGCCACCCTGGTGGCAAAACTCCTGTTGGAACACGGATTAATGCATACTAACTGTAGAATATATAACAACACAATGACTTCTGTCCAGACCGTCTTCATGTTAGACTATACTCATGACGTGAAGTAGAGTAAATAATAATAACATGCACACTAAACCTATACTGTATAAACATCGTGCGCTTTGTTCCATCATATCATCAACAATAAATAAGGAAAAGCGAATAGAAGTAACGAAGCATGCATGAATACCATACACTGCTTGAAGACTACAGTACAAAAACAAAGAAAACACTCGGTGACAGAGCATTTGTAACCTCCGCTCCAAAAATCTGGAATGAATTACCTATGTATATTAGAAATCTGCATAACTTTAGTATTTTCAAGAAATTAGTTAAGACTTATTATTTTGAGAAGCCTTTAATGTAAATACTTCATGTAACATATAATCTATATAATCTTCTTTATATTTTTAGTGAGTAACCATTCAGCATAGAATAATTTTAGTGTAATTATGTTTTGTGATGCGCATTTGATCATATACTATAACATATTAATTTGCGCAATATAAATATTAAATATTATTATTATTACCAATCGATGGCCGAACTGTGGTTCCTTTGCTATCTACTGTACGTCTCCACAAACACGAACTGAACCGTTGGTAGCTGCACAGCAAAACTCAGTTGTCTTGAGATCAGGAAGTTTCTTACCAGCCATGTTGCTAGGAGACGCACATGTCATTCCCTCAAGAACAGTATGACCAGACAACTGTTTACCGATCTGATCAAGTGCAAACAAATGAAACCATGCGAGACGACAATCGCATTTAAATGGATTCACTTGTATACCAAAGGAGCTGGCGTCCTTAAGTACGACAAATGGATTTTCTTCGATCGTCGAAATGTTGTTAGAAAATAAGAGCAGGGTGTCTAAGTTTGTTAGACCTTTAAATACGTTCTTTGGAATATGTGTGATTTCATTGTGGGCGAGATCTAACAGTGTAAGTGAGGTCGCTTGGAGTAGGAAGCTATCTTTTCCAAACAATTTATCTGTAGTTAGGCCACAATATCTGCAATTAAACCATTTAATTGTAGATCCTCTCAAGGCACCGGCGTTTATTTAACAATATTGTTGCCATACAAATCGACTAAATACGTAATTTTGGTAGCCCAGTGAACTGTGCCTTGGCCAAGCGAGTCAAATTTGTGTAATCCAGGTGCAATTCGGTAATGGTTTTGGTCACACGGCCGCTGCCAATGTCGTCTAATCCTGTAGAATTTAGTTCAGAATGTGGGATAAGAAGTTTTTTCAGAGTACTGTTTTCGAACATGTGATCTGCTAAGACTTGAAACGGAATTTTTATCCAAGCGAACGGTTTCCAATTTCAAGAGGTTTGCAAATACACTAGGTGGGAATGACACGAGTTGATTGTCTCTCAAAGATACGTAAGTCAAATTCACAAGCTGCTGGAAAGTTCCTTCCTGTATATAACTCAAGCTTCCTTCTGCCATGTATAGTTCTGTTAACCCATGAACGCCAATAAAGTCGTCTTTGGTCAGGTTCTGTATCCTACTTTCTCAATACTCAATTGTTTCGTGTCATTGTTGAATACGCCTCGAGGAAATTCGGTTATTACTAGTTTCATATTAATATTAATATGAAACTAGTTTTCCTATCTCTGAGGATGGTTCTGAAATGAAATTCGGTTATCGCTTGCATGTTTTCGCATTTTACCCATTTTGGCTTTGGGAAACATTTACAATTGGATGGATATGTCTTCGGACACGGCCCTTGTTGGCCTTTTGCCAAAATAAATAGCAACGAATAAACGAATATGTGCATCGCTTGAAACATAGCTTGTCGTTAAAGGCTTTTGGTCGATAACTGTGTATGAATAAGCAGCAGACAACACTAGCTGATGACTTGCTTTGTAATTTAAATATTCAATCTGCTAATGCTAAATTCGGCCATATGTCTAAGGTCAGCTGCATGTCAACAATAACATCATTTTAATCGCAAAATTGTTGTCAGTCTCATTCACAAATTATTGATAAAATGATAATGAAATGAATTATTTCAAGTTATCTTCCCATGCAAGTATAAAATGTACAGTAAGGATGGTTTTGTCAATCAAGGCGAGAAAGACGATCAAGCCGGCGAGAAAGTCATTAGTGCTGAATGTTGAATCAATTGCAATTTAGCGTATATCTTATTCAAAATCCATTCTCATGCAAATAGTTTGCTATAAAGTTGAACATGATTAGCATGTAAATTGGTTTTCAGTAATATATGCGCTGAAAAGAAAATGAGGTGGTAACGTGATTAACATATAGAGGCATGTTACATATAGGGGTATGTTACATATATAGGGGCATGAAATATAATGACGCGATGTTTAATTAAGTGACGAAATATTTTCAAGTTATATTAATTCCAGACGAGTCATGTTACATATAGGGGCAGGGGTAAAAACCTTATGTTACATATAGGAGCAGCGGTATAAATCTCATCTTACACTGATATATAGGGCCGTGTACACCTTATGTTACATATAGGGGCAGACGTAAAAAAGTTATGTTACGCATAGAGGCGGAGTTATAAACCTTATCTTACAATGATCTAGGGGTGAACACCTTATGTTACACATAGAGGCAGTCGTGATAACCTTATGTTACATGGGAGGAGGGAGAATTGTTGAGGGAGAATTGTTGAGAATTGTGGAGGGAGAACTGTTATGGAACCGCGTGGAAATTATTTTTTCCACCCGGGTTGATTTAAAAACAAAGACAACGTGAAAGGAGCATTTGGCAGACAAATTTTCAGTGTATTTGGTGCCACAAATCCCAAAAATACAGTTCTACAATGGAACTATTAATATTAGGTATCAACCTCGTTTTCCAAGGCTTCAGTGTGAGGACGAGGCGAGACACGAGGAAGCCCTGGTCTGGGCCGGTCATTTGACGAGAAAAAAATGGCAGTATTTGACAGCTACTCGTCAAGGAGTGGCGAGATATTCTTTAATCAAATATACAAGTCTTTGAAACAAATAAATAGCCAAAAAACTTCTCAATCGATATTATTTATGTGAACAGCGAAGTTTGGCACGAATCAGCTAAAATCTGTGAAGATCCCGTCTATGTTTTCTAAGATATACCGATATTTCTGGAGATTTTCAACTACAGGCAAAGTGCATCCAAGCTGCATCTAGGCGTCTCCATGCACGTGGTGATTCACACGAAATTTCCTTTCTCTCGTCTTGAACAATATGGCTATTGCTATAATTAATATTTAGTTTAAATATGCTCTTATAGATCTGACTTAGTTCAATATAAATAAGCACAAATATAAACCTCGCGTATAAACCTGTTCACGCTGTACAGGAGTATACGGATTCGCTTGTTTTGTCGGACACCAACACTTGCCGTTCAGGAGCAATGCTTGCCTACAAAATTTATCCCCTTCACAATCTTTGTTTTATTTTATCGTATAGTCGCAATTTTCAAGTATTCGGGGTATTCTGAAACTGAAAAACTGGGTGGCGCGCGAATCTTGTAAAGACTACATCGGCCTACGCGTAGAGCTAAACAGGGCCTAAATTAATTTAGTAGCTTCATTTAATTGTTTGTCTTGCTTTTATTTCTCAGTAGAGAATATTGTAAATTAAAATATTACTACAATGCAATACGCGTAGTATTTCATCCGACATATGTACTAATAAATACTGTACAAGGAAAACTACAGCTTAAATAATAGTAGACGTTTCTTGTTTTGTCAAGAAACATCACACCTCACTTCGACACGGCTTTTGAGTTTTGTAACCGGCCAAGGCGAAAGTAAATCATGCAGTCGGGAAAACGCACTGATCTGAAAGAATACGTCTTACTTTGAAAGATTATTTTGCAAAACATACTCGTACACACAAGAATCATAAAAATACAAATGTTGAATTGTTATTGTCAACTGTCAAGTTCAGTTATTTTTAGACAATATGGTGTTAGCCAATCAGAGTGCAAAATTGACCGGCCCAGACCAGGGCTTCCTCGTGTCTCGCCTCGTCCTCACACTGAAGCCCTGGGAACGAGGTTGGTTAGTTATTTCAGTCGTAAATCAAAAAAGACCAAAATAATCCGTTCAAAATGGTAGTCTCAATAAAAAGTAAAACTCCAACCTACATTACTAACATTCCGTCAATTTTAACAGCCAAATTCGTTTAATTTATTTACTCCGACTTGAGAATGCTTTCAAAAATAACGAACTATGTTAGACAGCATACTCTTTCAAATAAAGGTATCGTATTACTTTCACGAATACTGTTGTGATTTGCATGTACACGTCACATCCGGTTCCATAGCTATAAATACTTCATGTAATAATGTTCAAGGTTGTTATTGAATATAGTTTTTTGTACTTTTGTTTGTGTGACTTCTTGTCAATTTATCCGCCTAAATATTGAACCCAAACCTATAACAAATACTATAAAAGAACACCTTCTTCAAATATCAAGTAATTAGTCAGATTATAAGTACAATGATTGTATGTACAATATAGTCCTAACACTTTATGCTGTAAATAGTTTTCATGTTTTTTCCCTTTCTTTTCTTTTAACAATAATACTTGTAATATATTTTAAATTCGGTCAACCGTATAGTCTGTAGTTAGAACTAGCCTCTAAATTTTACAATTATATAGGGGTCTTAAATAAAAGTCTGTTAAGGTTTCTGGTAGGGCTCTACAATAACATTAATCTACTTTTTTAATGTAAATCAGCAAAACGGTATAAAAAAATTTACGTAATGAAAACACCGAAAGTTTGACGGCACAACAACCTGTGGCATTACAAAATTTGAGCATATAGATTCGAATAATTAAACGTGCAAAAAGAGTGACTGAAAATAATGAAATAGTAAGGGTCGTACAAAAATCTGATTTATACTATAGTTTATCTGTTTTTAACTACTTCTTTAATAACAGTTGAGAAAATAATATTTTGAAAGCATTATTGTCGAGGGAAAAACGTTTATTCCAATGCTCATTTTCCGGGTAGCTTTCATCGTATACATGCATTACACTCGCAGATGAAACAATTCTCAATTATTTGGACACGTTTTCACTTCCTGACTGTCAGCAAATGATAGCCGCAGAATTAGACATGAAATACAACGTTTTCTTTACCTCATGAACGTTTTGCTGACGTTGATGAAGGATGATATCACAGATGACATTCCGATTGCCTTTGATGATATTTTGCAGTTGGAACTACTTTCATGACATTCGTATTGGCTTATATGCATGACCTTTGACACTATCTATACATGGCATTCGGTTACATGACGCTAGCGACATGTGCCCGATGTGAAAACACGATTAATAAGTACAACACCCTACATATTTTATTTTTTATTTTACAGATTTTGCCATTTAACACAAACTATTACACAAAATTAATTATACAATAGATTACATGGCTGGAATTACCACACAGTGTTTAGTTCCCCAATAACGGGGTTCCAAAATATGAGCCTTACTAACAAACAATGTTACGATCAGCTTGGAGCATCAGTTGTTAGAATTTTTGCACAAGTGAACATAACAAATCCTGCATGTTGATTAGTCAAATTTGACGTATTAATCTGCTATATTCACCTACAGGTGAATATAACAAAATCGAAATTTTCAAAGTGGCGGCTAGCCATTTTGTTGAAGTCAGTGATAAAGAATTAACCACCTCGCTCGATGGAAATTTAGAGCGAAATTATATACATTTTAGGCTTGGCAATAGGAGCAGCTGAGAAACTACAACCATAGACCCCCTGCAGGGATCGATCCTTCGCTCCTGTGATTCATCAGCGATTCGCCCGAAATTTCCATCCATAAAAACCATTCAAAATTTCGTTCTATCGAGGAAGATGGCAGAAACTATGAAAATCGAACTTTCATATACGTTTAGGGATGCTTCAATATGTATGGTTGGGGTGGTGATGGGGGGCTGGTGGTTTCTAAAATTCAAACAGCATAATAAAAATGTCGTCCCCTCGCCCCATTTAATGTGTTAAAAATGTAGTCACCAGT